TGTAAACCGCTTAGAGAGGCCTGAAAGGCCTATGAAGCGGTATATAAGTCTACTGCTATTGCTATTGCTCTTGAAGACGTTTCTTGACCCAACTAGATAACGTCATCCGTGGTAGAAGGGGGTGGGGTTTGCAGGAGGGAGGAGGAGGAGGAAGAGGAGGTCTTCGGTGCTCTCTGAGTTCAGTTGTCTTCTTGCAGATGTTTCATGACCCAACTAGGTAACATTCTCAGTTCTCGCAAACTCCACTCCCTCCTAGCTGGTACTGATACTGTTACCCAGCTGGCTCCCGAAACGTCTACAAGAAAGCGACCAACCTCAGAGAACGCCGAGGGCTCCACCATCCTGAGGAAGTCAGCCCTTCCTCCCCGCCGTTCAAAAATTCACTTCCGTGACCCGTTCCCCCTTGTTGGCCTTGGCTGTCAAACTCCCAAATGCTCCTCTCCTTCGTCTTTCTTCCGTCTCTCCCACCACCACCACCAGTTCCTGACGCAGTCCCATAGCAACATCATCAGGGCCTCTCCCAGGCTGCCCCCCCCCTCCCAACACCACCGCCTGCCCTGCAGCCAATCTGGCTGTGGCTGATGGGAGCTGCCAGCTCAGCACCTTTGAAAGTCCCCGGGCTGAAGGAGGGGAAGGCTCCCTGCCATCAAAGCAAGGAGTCCCATTCAAGGCAACGGCACTTCCTCCTGAGTCAGCAGCCTTGGAATTGCATCCTCATGTTTATTTTCTCTCCGTGGCTCGGCTGCTTTTGCCTCTGTGTGTGTTTGTGTGTGTGTGGGAGGGAGGGAGGGAATATATGGAAATGTAGCATGCATCAATTCCACCATGCATGGAGAAATGGGTTTCCTCCACCACCACCAACCTTTCTCCAAAAACGTCCAGTTCTTCTCACGTTGGGTTCTCTCGGCTGCAATCCTCTCGCTTCCAAAAACTGCCCGGGGTAGTTAGTTCAATTTTGACCGTCTCACCTTCCATCCACCCGATATGCTTCCACTGGCTCAACATATGGCAGCCTAGGAGGATTTGGTGCAAACATCTCTTCTCTGCTTCTCCTTCCAGTCTTCCTTTTTCTTCTTCCCCTCTTCTCTTTCTCCTCTTCTCCTCTCTTCACTTCTTCTTTCCCCCCTTCACCTCCTCTCTCCTCTCCTCCCTTTGCTTCCCTTCTCCTCTCCTCTCTTTGCTTTTCCTCTCCTCCCTTCTCCTCCTCTTTCCTCTCTTCACTTCTCCCTTCTCCTCTCCTCTGTTCTCCTCTCTGCTTCTCCTCTCTTCGCTTCTCCTCTCCTTCCTTCGCCTCCTTTCTTCTCTCCTCTCCTCTTCCCTGCCCCAAACATGTATTTGGGCATGCTCTATTTGCAATAGAGTTTTGCAGGTTGTTTCATTATCCAGCAGGACATCTGGGTAGGAACCGAATTTAAAACACATTGTTAAGCCTCTTTCAGGAGAAGAGACAATGTCTGTAATGGCCATTTGGGGTATTTTTGCACACAATACTAAGTTGAGTTGGCTTTAACCTTGATTGTTTCTTTGGTGTGTGTGTGTGTGAGAGAGAGAGAGAGAGAGAGAGGGAGGGAGAGAGACAGAGAGAAACGGAGAGAGGGAGAGAGGGAAAGGGAGAGACGGAGACAGGGAGAGAGAGAGAGAGACAGGGAGAGAGAGAGAGGAGAGAGAGAGGGAGGGAGGGAGAGAGACGGAGAGAAACGGAGAGACGGAGAGAGGGAGAGGGAGAGACAGGGAGAGAGAGAGAGGAGAGAGAGAGGAGAGAGAGGAGAGAGAGAGAGAGAGAGAGATACTTAATATGTTGTGTGAACCCAGGCCACTGGGTGACTTAATGATTCACTGCATTGTGCAAAGCCAGGAAATGGGAGAATTCTGCAACAAGATGAAACCTGTTGCCAGATTGTCTCCTCTTAATCTTCTGAGCTTGGAAAGAGCTCAGGAGAATTTGTGGTTCTAAAACGATAACCCTGGCAGAGTCACAAAGACAACCTTGGAAGCCCAAAACCAAGGATCATTTCCAGGGCGACATCCTCATCTTCAATGATTCTGTTACTTGGCTGGGATGTAGTTGGAACAATTGTAAAATCCCCCAAATCTTAGCTTGTAGAGCTCTTAAAGAACGCAACACATCCTCATCCTTCCCTTCCTCTTTCTTTGCAGGCCTCTGGGCTCAGAAGGTGCTTGTCAACGAGACGGTCTCCGGCTTCATCGGCACCAACGTGGTCCTTCATTGCAACTTGGACAAGATCAACCACACGAGGATCACTCAGGTCACCTGGCAGAAAGCCAGCAATGGCTCCAAGCAAAATGTGGCCATCTTCAACCCCAACATGGGTGTCTCCATCCTGCCCCCCTACGAGGAGAGAGTGGTCTTCCAGAACCCTTCCAGAACCGATGGGACCATCAAGCTGTCCAACCTCCAGTTGGACGACGAAGGGATCTACATCTGCGAGTTTGCCACCTTCCCGACCGGCAACCTGGAAAACCAACTCAATCTCACCGTCTTGGGTAAGTTGCCAATATCGTTTCATTAATGACTACTAGTATGAAAATTATATGATGCCCACTCAATTGAAAGTAGCCCTGGGTGGTTTTCAAGACCATCAAAGCAAAAAATACAGAATATTAAGCATTAAAATTGAAAGAAATTTGATAAGTTAGGAACCAGAATGCAACGGGGTGGAGGTGAGATCTTCTTCCTAGTCCACTAATCAGCACCGACATGGAACATCCCATCGGGGTCCCATGCAGGTGCTTTTTGGGGTCATTTTGGAAAGCCAAGAGGTTGAGGAGGAAGTTCTCACCTTGAGGGGCACAATGGTCCCGAGGGTGGGAGACTCAGCAGAAAAGTCCCTTCTCCTGGATGCTGCCAGAGACAATTCCTTGATTGATGAGGTGAGAGGTGGGTTCCTACCAGTTCGCACCTATTCGGTAGAACCGGTTCGTCAAATCTACCGAACCGGTTGAAGAGGTTCCACCAGTGGACCCGGAAAGCAGGCCACACCTACAGAAGAGGTTGCAAAAATGTTTGAAACCCACCACTGACAGAGAGAGAGAGAGAGAGAGAGAGA